TTGAGGTTGCTAGCCAGGGAAGGTTCTCTTTAGTATAGAGGCTCCTTGACTTACAGTGGAGTTACATACAGATAAACCCATCATAACTTGAAAACGCCCTAAGTCGAAAATGCATTTAACATGCTTAACCTACTGAATAGCTTAGCCTTGCCTACCTTACACGTGCTCAGCAACTTAAAGTAGCATGCAGTTGGGTAAAATCATCTGGTAACACAGTGTACTGTAGAGTACCAGTTGTTTACCCTCAAAATTTCATGGCCACATGAGAGCTGCGTTCACTGCCACTGCGCAGCATCACACGAGAGCATTGTACTCCATACCTGTAGCATGGGAAAAAATCAAAATTCAAACTTTGAAGTACAGTTTCCACTGAATACTTATAGCTTTTGCACCTATATAAAGGTGTTAAAAAAAAAAAAAAAAGCTAAGTCTGAGACTGTCTGTATTAGTGTATGTAAAGTTCACTTAAAAGATAAATATTCCTTATGATGAAGAATAACAAAACATTCTATCATGTATATTTTGGGGTTTTCCAACATTGTTCTGGATGGTCCATGTCGTTGCTGCTTTCCTGTAAAATTGATAGTCAATATTTGCTTCTACAGACAAGGGAATTTAAACTATTTTCTTTTTTTTTTTTTTTTTTTTTGGAGACAGTCTCTCTGTGTTGCCCAGGCTGGAGTGCAGTGGCTGGCTGATCTCGGCTCACTGCTACCTCTCCCTCCTGGGTCCCGGTTCAAGCAATTCTCCTGCCTCAGCCTCCCGAGTAACTGGATTTACAGGCACACGCCACCACGCCCAGCTAATTTTTGTATTTTTAGCAGAGATGGGGTTTCACCATGGTGGCCAGGCTGGTCTTGAACTCCGGACCTTGTGATCCACCCAACTCGGCCTCCCAAAGTGCTGGGATTACAAGCATGAGCCACCGTGCCCGGCCCAATTTAAACTATTTTCTATCATTATTTCTATAGATTATAATCTGAACTTTTAGCATGTATTTATAAGTTTATAACTTAAAATATTGAAATATTTCCAGGAAATCTTTGGAAAGAGAAGACTTTGAAAAAATAATTGCAGAGCAAGCAGTTGCAGCAGGTAATAGAACTGTTTATGTAATTAGAAAGTATGCCGTATACCTGTAGAACTCACATTTTCTCTAGAAATATTCATGTTTATTTGTTGGTGACTCCCAGTATGAAGTGTTCAATATTATGTATTCTGTTAATGTAAAGAGTAACAATTTTTGATACTATATGTTTTTGTTTGACCTAAAACATTTTCTCTGTTTATGTTTACTTGCTGAAGAGTAGATAAGGCTAGATGGGAAGCTAACTCACAAACATTCACAGGCTTTGATCTTGAATCTAACTAAGTGTTCTTCATTTATGCATGAAAAATTCTACTCAACAAAGTAAAATAAAGAATGCTTTTAAAGGTTAGGAGCAGTCATGGGAAAAAAGTTAACAGTGTTCTCACATTAATCATTAGTTTGAGAGAAAAATTTGATGTATGACTTGGTCTTGCTGTCCTTTCCAAAGTTTCAGTACATGAACCATGAGGTTGCGTCTTTCTAAAAGTATGATATTGATAATAATAATAATGACTAACTTATATCGAGTCCCTCCTATTCTGAACATAAGCCCCACACTTCACAACAGTGCTATGAAGAGGGCACTATTCTTTTTCCCACATTACAGATAAGAAAAAATGTGGTACTCAGAGTGTAAAGATTAAAGGAGATTATAGAAAGGGAAGATCGTACAGAGCACCCTTGACATAACTAACTCCATCTTTAAAAAAGACTCCATTTTGTATTTCCTAGGGCATTTTGCCAACAAAAATAACATGTTTTATTTAATAAACAAATTTTAAATAGTGAAAACTACATGCAACCAGATAAAAACACTTTTTCACTATCAGTTCTCACCAGAGGACTCTGCAACTATAAAAAATTAAACCTTCAACAACTCAAAACGGTCGTCTTAACTGACACCTTCTTACATTCACTCATGATAAAAATTTGACATCTGCCACCAAGGGCTCTGCCACCTCAGAGTCTTTCTCATAAGACCAACAGATGGCCTGACTGAAACCAAGACTCCTTTTGTCTTCTTCACTATACCCACCCTCGTTTGTTAATTCTTTCTCCTATCTCTTTTTCCTTTCGATGTTAAATGTTACTTTGTTACAAAATATTTAACCTATAACATTTCTATTTTCTATGTTAATTAAGCATACTATTATGTATCACTTAAAATATTGACTTGTGGAGTGACTTGAGCCTGTGTGCCTGTAGCTCTAAGAAATGAGTAAACAAAAAGTCCCAAAAAAATTGCCACTTGGCAAGGCGTGGTGGCTGACGCCTGCAATCCCCACAATCTAGGAGGCTGAGGTGGGCAGATCACCCGAGGTCAGGAGTTCGAGACCAATCTGGCCAACACAGCAAAAACCCATCTCTACTAAAAATACAAAAATTAGCCAGGCATGGTCGTGTGCATCTGTAGTCTCAGCTACTCTGGAAGCTGAGGCATAAGAATCACCTAAACCTGGGAGGCGGAGGTTGCAGTGAGCTGAGATTGCATCACTGCACTTCAGCCTGGGCAACACAGCAAGACTCTGTCTCAAAAAAAAAAAAAAAATTGCCTCCTTAATAACTTCATATATCTCATGGCTTTTATGATAAAAAGTAATATTAATAAAAACCTAACATTGTAAAAAGACACAGACATACAGAGGCTTATTTCTAACTTCATAGCACTCATGAAAATGCTATAGAAAGTAAATTACATATTCCAAGCAGATACTCTTTCTGCTAACACTAAAAAACAAGAATGCTATTTTACTCAGGAAAAAAAATGCTTTGTAATCATTTCTAGACAAAATTGAGTTTCATGACCAGTGATTTTAAATTAACTTCAGTGTCTGACCCTTTCGCTGCTGGAAACCCTCAGAGAGGAAGACCCTCTTCATGAGGATGAATTGCTTTTGTTTTTAACAGAAAGATTGGAGGAATTTTGCCAAAAAGTACTTAATACTAGAATTCAAATTGATCTTTTATAGTTAGGTTTCAGAGAGATACAAAGTTGTGTATTATATTCAAGTGGTCATTCTTTTTTAATGAATTAATTTGGGATATTTCTTCAGTTACTAGAATTTTAGAAGCTAACCTAGGTAGATAATTTGGATATAGGGGTTTCATTTTAATCAGCAAATAGCACAAGTTGAAAATAGGAATAATGGCACAGCTTTACCAAGGTGGCGTATTTGATATGGCAGAACATGTATTATGTGATTTCAGGAGTTCCAGTGGAAGTTATCAAAGAATCTCTTGGTGAAGAGCTTTTTAAAATATGTTACGAGGAAGATGAAAACATCCTTGGGGTGGTTGGAGGCACTCTTAAAGATTTTTTAAACAGCTTCAGTACCCTTCTGAAACAGAGCAGCCATTGCCATGAAGCAGGAAAAAGGGGCAGACTTGAGGATGCCTCCATTCTATGCCTGGATAAGGAGGATGATTTTCTACATGTTTACTACTTCTTCCCTAAGAGAACCACCTCCCTGATTCTTCCTGGCATCATAAAGGCAGCTGCTCACGTATTATATGAAACCGAAGTGGAAGTGTCGTTAATGCCTCCCTGCTTCCATAACGATTGCAGCGAGTTTGTGAATCAGCCCTATTTGTTGTACTCCGTTCACGTGAAAAGCACCAGGCCATCCCTGTCCCCCAGCAAACCCCAGTCCTCGCTGGTGATTCCCACATCGCTCTTCTGCAAGACATTTCCATTCCATTTCATGTTTGACAAAGATATGACAATTCTGCAATTTGGCAACGGCATCAGAAGGCTGATGAACAGGAGAGACTTTCAAGGAAAGCCTAATTTTGAAGAATACTTTGAAATTCTGACTCCAAAAATCAACCAGACATTTAGCGGGATCATGACTATGTTGAATATGCAGTTTGTTGTACGGGTGAGGAGATGGGACAACTCTGTGAAGAAATCTTCAAGGGTAAGGAAAATGTAATATTATCTTGAATAAGAAAGCTATTTCATATTTAAGAGCAAGAAACGAAAGCGTAAAAATATATGCATCACTTCAAATGTTTTGATAAAACATATTTAAAACAATGGTAAAAGAATTGCAAAGCTGTAATAAACTTAAACAAAATTCTTTCTGCATTTGTTTGCTTACTCGATTCATTACTCCAAAAATATTTATTGAATGCAGTCTGCCTTTTAATATCTTTTTGGAATGTTTTATAATGAAATTTGATAAATGTTTATATAAAAATATGTTTTCAATTATCTAGCTGACTTAGGTTGAATAATAAGAGGTATTGTTTTACAACAAACAAAAGTCACTTGTTTCTTGTAGGAGGCAACTAAATGGATTTTTAATCAACATTTAATAGACATAAAAAAATAATTTATTTGATTATTTGTTACCAAATGTGGAGGTTAAAATATGTCATCTCATGGTAGAGAACTTCGGTAATTATTTAGCCTCAGGAAAGAAAGTTTGCTAACTCATAGTTGATAATACAAGCAAAGTTAAGAGAGAGATTTCACACATGTATAACTTTAGCAGAAGCACTATTTTTTCCCCAAAAGGAAAATAGCTTTATTATTATTTTCTATCATAAAATAATATATTGAGATGTTTAAAAATGAGTAATATTGAAAGATGTTTATTGTAGCAAAAAAATGAAAAACTAATTATACACATTTTTGTTTAAAACAAAAAAAATGCTATTTTACAACTTCTTTTATCATGAAACAATATATTTTGTGCATCCTCCCATGTCATTAGATATAGGTCTATTTGGCTTTCTTGGAGTCTTAGTGGTATCCCATTATATGGTTGTGTTCTACTTTATTTATTTATTCATTTATTTAGATGGAGTCTTGCTCTGTCGCCCAGGCTGGAGTGCAGTGGCGTGTTCTCAGCTCACTGCCACCTCCAACTCCAAGGTTCAAGCAATTCTCCCTGCCTCAGCTTCCTGAGTAGCTGGGATTACAGGCATGCGCCACCACACCCAGCTAGTTTTTGTATTTTTTAACAGATGGAGTTTTGCCATGTTGGTCAGGCTGGTCTTGAACTCCTGACCTCAGGTGATGCGTTCACCTTGGTCTCCCAAGCTCTACTTTATTTAACTAGTATCCTATTGAAGGATATTTGGGTTGCTTTTGGCTTTTTGCTGCAAGAACACACATGCACATCTTTGTCCACACGTACGCAAGTAAACCTTCTTGTGGTTCAGGATGATCACTTGAAGCCCCCTGTCTCTCACATCCTCCTTGGTACAGTCCTTTCTACTGTATGGTTTGCTCTTTTATTTGTGTGGTGGAGGGCAGGGTGCCTTATGTGCTGGAGGCAAAGTTGAAATGGGGAAGTAGCTTCTCCTATAAGATTCAGATACCTCATGCTGAAGTCTCTGGAAAAATAATGACTTCCAAAAGGTAGTTCTGGGGAGCTACTCATGACTGAAAAAAAAAAAATTCAGATAAAAATCTTACCTTTGGAGGCTTTTTAACTTCCATACCTGCCAGATGGAGCAAGTACTACGGGAGAAGTGGGGAAAAGAAGAGAAACATGCTAAACGAGAAGGAAACAACAAAAAAAAAAATAGAATGAAGAAAAAAGTAAAAGGGAGGGAGGGAAGAAGGAAGAAAGGAAGGAAGAATACATTTTCATAAGTACCATATTATACAAAAAATAGAACTTCAGGTTAACCAAGTGAGACTATTAACAAGAATATCGTGGCAAAAGCCTCAGCACGCTGCTTAGTGAGAAAGCGTTGAAGCAACAGCGTTTTGCATTGTTCACTGTAAATCTTGATTTATGTGTAGAGTATACTCCAATATACTCTTCAAATGTCTGCATGCATTTTAGAACTCATAGCAAATTGGAACTATAAGAAAGCAAACTATTCCTCTTCAGCAGGTTTGAACACAAAGGGATTATTACTGTATCTACTTCCCCTTCTTTTGTCTCAGAAAGATTTTGGAAACTTGAATAAACCACAGTTGGTTCTCCTTTCCTTCATAGGTTATGGACCTCAAAGGCCAAATGATCTACATTGTTGAATCCAGTGCAATCTTGTTTTTGGGGTCACCCTGTGTGGACAGATTAGAAGATTTTACAGGACGAGGGCTCTACCTGTCAGACATCCCAATTCACAATGCACTGAGGGATGTGGTCTTGATAGGGGAGCAAGCCCGAGCTCAAGATGGCCTGAAGAAGAGGCTAGGGAAGCTGAAGGCCACTCTTGAGCAAGCCCACCAAGCCCTAGAGGAGGAGAAGAAAAAGACAGTAGATCTTCTGTGCTCCATATTTCCCTGTGAGGTTGCTCAGCAGCTGTGGCAAGGGCAAGTTGTGCAAGCCAAGAAGTTCAGTAATGTCACCATGCTGTTTTCAGACATCGTTGGGTTCACTGCCATCTGCTCCCAGTGCTCACCGCTGCAGGTCATCACCATGCTCAACGCACTCTACACTCGCTTCGACCAGCAGTGTGGAGAGCTGGATGTCTACAAGGTAGGGGTGGAACAGGGCAATGATCATTTTACCAGCAAACTCACTGGGGTACAAGCACTGTGCCTAGGACCTGAACTATAATGCAACTGAAAGGCCACCTCTGCACGGTCTTGCAAGCCCAGTCCTGGGAACAGGTATGGTGCATTCATTATGTGGGTGTTTTCCAGCCAGAAATAGCTCCGGATCTGCCCAGAAACAGAGGTAACTGTTCTGTGAGAGGACTGCCACATTCTCTTCTCAAAGAATGAGCAGAGAATGGAGGGAGGATAAGGTGCTCAAAGAATGGAGGATGGGGTGTAGGACCTGTGAATAGGAGAAGTTTAATAGTCAGTGAACCTGCCACTTCACTGTGGAAACCGAGTTGAATTATTAAGTGTGAGATAATTCGAAGTATGGCTTATACAAGGAAACATTATCCTTTGTATCTGTAAGAGTAAAGACACATGAGGATTATAAAAATTGCCTTTAAATAGATTACTTCAGTACAGAGTTAACATGATACTTTTCATAGACAGTTAACAGAAATCAAAATCACCTACTTAAGGCATTTTTGCAGCTTGGCCAAGGGCGGAGACATTTGAAAAACAAAGACCTGTCTTCAAATCTTGTTCTCTGCCTTACTCGCTTTGTAAACTAAGTTAAAAAAAAATTTATCATCACTTCTAAGAGAAAATAATGCTCACTCACAGAGCCTATACATATGAATAACACACATTATGTCCCATAATCTTCATGAACAGGATTGTTATAAAGATTATGTTAGATAATACATGATATTCATCAGACATACAGGATGAGCCAGGCATCATTGTAGGCACTGGAGATATAGCAGTGACCATCCCTGATACCAATTTTTTAAAAAATGTAACTACTATTAGTAAGAGAGCTAATGAAGAGATTTCAAGTTCTGTCTACTTCTTTAGAATTAAAAGTTTTTACTGATTTAAATTACTTTGCTTTCTTTTAGACATTGGCACTAGGAATAAAGCATACTTCTCATTTGTATGGCTTGAATCATCTTCTTAACTTGCCACATAACATTCTGACGTTTCAGAGCTGAACCCAACAGGAAATAAATAAATTATTGAGGAAGAAACAAATATTATTCATGATAATACATAAGCTCTTGTCTTGTTTTGTTCTAGATGCTAGAAGTAAAACCTTACTTTAAAAAATTCCTAACAGGAAATTCCAAACAGAGCCATGATTCCCTTGGGGAAAAAGAGGCCCATGTATAATTACAGGAAAAATAATTGGCTTCAGTTAGGTTAAGTTTGATGGCCTCTTGTGGAGTTTACTGTATTTATTTGTAGACATTTTCTATCTTGAGACTGTCTCCTCTCTTAGAATTGTGAGAAGGAAGTCTTTCTTCCTTGCAAACTGCTGTAATTGCTAACAGAAGTAGCCCTCTTCTACTTTTGGTTATTTCTATCAAGGATATAGGGTATAGTTTTTAAATATCCTAATAAGCATTTTGAAACTATGCTCCTCACTGTAAGGTATAAGGACAACAGCCACAGAGTTCCTGATGAATCTAACTAGAGCCATAGCTAGATAGTAAATTACCTTCTATGCCAGTCCTCATCTCTACTTTTTCTTCGCTTCTGATTTTGCTTGAGATTAGTTGGAGACAGCTGAAAATAAATATAGAAGGGTTTCAGATATACACAATGTATAATCATAGGCCTACCCTATGGGTGCCAATGGCTTCAAAAGAATAGTCAACCTTATTTATTCCAGGACTTGATTATACTATGGCTTTATTTAATTTCATTTTCTCTCTTCTGTCTTTCTGGGGGTTTTGGCCATTTTTCTGTTTCTCTCTGTGTTCATTTACCAATTGTTTCAGCGTGTATATACTGGTTATCCAGCATTTGCCAGCATGGGTGGGCACTGGCTACAGAGCTAGAGCGTACAATCCCTGTGAGCAAAGTTCACATATGGAGAAGGAGAAGAGGGCAGAATGGACCAATGCTAGATTTCCATATGATGTGACGAAGGGATGCAGTATGTACAAGGGGCTGCAAAAGCAGATATGGTAGGCCCCTAACATCAGGTAGGGGTAGGGGTAGAACTTCTTCTGATTAGCATATTTATTGAGCACCTGTGATAGCCATCATGATGAGCATTTCTTATGTGCTCATTGCTGAGAAAAAGCTCGTGGGTGACATTGCCACCTGGTTCATTATTACCGGGCACAGGTAATATAGGAGTGAATAAACTAGACAAACTCAGAGGGCTTACATATGATTAGGGGAAAGAAAGACAGTAAACGAATGAGTAAATTTATAGTCTTTCAGTTAGTATAATAATATGAAAGAAAAATAAAGTAAGTTAAGGGGAAAAAGAAGGGCAGTGGGTAAGGGGTGATTGCTGTTTCTTAGAGGGTGGTAGCAATCGGCTTTTCTAATAAGGTGAGGTTTTTGTAGGGACTGAAGGAAAGGAGGGACAACCAAGTGGTTATCTGCAGAGAGATTGCTCCAGGAGAAAGGAATAGCAAGTGGGAGCATGTTTGATATGCTTAAGGGATAATGGAAGGCAGTGACATTGGAACTAAATGAGAAATATGGAGAATAAGAAGATAAAGTCAGAGACTAGGAGAAAGACAGGTCAAGAAGAAATCTGGAGCCATAATAAGGGTATCAGCATTCACTCTGAGTGGGGAATTTCTGAAGATTTGCACCTTCTTTCTTTTTTCCTTTCTCACCCTCATCCTTTCACAATTGAGGCTTTGGATCAGAATAGGGTCTTATAGTTACAGTAAATATTTGGAGGACAAGAAAAATGCCGCTCTTAGAATTAGGGAGTTATTTATGGATTTAAATTAACTATTTGCTTTCTGCAGCCAGTATCACAGACAGATAAAAATTGCCTGTAACATCAACAACAATGATGATGATAATGACAAGGTTAATACTTAGATTTTAGATAATAGCTTGATTTCCAGTGGTCCTTCAAGCATCACCATTGTTTTTACCTACTGGTTCAACATCTTGGTTTCTATAACTGTGATTAGTATCCATTAAACAAGTAATTTCCATGAGGACCCCAAGGGTCCTGTAGAAAAACCATTTCTTTTTACTTTTATGACTATTAATATCTTGGTTTTACATTGCACAATTTTACTACATTCATATGACATTTATTGGGTAGTGACTTGAGGCAAAATACTATTTTATGATGAGGAGGATATAAAACGAGTAAATGATCCCAACATCTTTAAACAATGTATTATAATTCAAAAATGTATTGTTTCTACAAAAACTATCTTATATGGTGAAAAAAAAAGAAATGAAATGATATGATGAGTCAGTGACAAATCTGGGAGTAGAAGCCAACTGTTATTGTGTTCACAGGACTGTGCTGCCTCTCAGGGCAGTGACTGAATGTAATGGGTCTAAACCTTGTGCATTTCCTGAAAGAGAAAGCCATTTCTGGGAGTATCTGATTAACCCTGATCCCCCAGAAGGCCTGAGCAATGAGATGTATGCTGTATGATTTAATTTCTTCTATATGATGTAGCCTGTGATTCTTCCTGAGCATTTATTTATAGTATGGAAAATATATTATGTCTAGGTGGAGACCATTGGCGATGCCTATTGTGTAGCTGGGGGATTACACAAAGAGAGTGATACTCATGCTGTTCAGATAGCGCTGATGGCCCTGAAGATGATGGAGCTCTCTGATGAAGTTATGTCTCCCCATGGAGAACCTATCAAGGTAAGGCAGATGATATATTGTCTAGGAGATGTCACAAGAGCAAATGCATATTAGTTGATTATCAAAACCATAGTGTATCAGCTGGGGTTTAGTTGAGAGAGAGAGAGAAAGCAAAATCTATAGAGAACACAATCTTCTCTAACTTGTTTACATTGGAAGAAATATATTATAGGGTATAGGCTTACAGAATCATTGAGAGGACAGAAGAACACATCTATAGTTGGACTTTCAAAAAAATGTCTCCCATAGTATGAGGATCTTCCATTGTCAAAATAAAATAGCTCCTAAAGGCAAACTTCAGAACAACTGCATTTTCAAAAATCTGGAAGCTGATTCCAAAACTATCCCACCAAAGCCACAGTCAGGAAACTGCCATGTTCAGAAAGCTGCTGCCTCTCCAAAACCATATCTACTGTAATAATCAGCACGATGTCAATCCTGCATCATGACTGTTACAAAGTGAGTGACAGGAAAATGGACTCTTTACTAAGCATGCTAAAGAAAACACGAAGGCTTCCACAATTGTGCTTCAGTTATAGTGGAGATGGTGCCTGCCAGATCCCATGCAATTGTGCCTCTGATTTACCAAGCCTAACTGCATTTAGAAGCTGCAAGTTTGTTTAGAAAATGTAGTTTTGGTTTTCCAACCCCTGGAGGAGAGAATATTACATTTGAATGGATGTTGACTGCTAATCCACCAATATTTTCCAAGGCACATGACATTTAAAAATTTCTAGATGAGCCAGATTCCAGAATAATATCTCACCACACATGGGGAAATAAAGTTAATTTCTAGATGAGCCAGATTCCAGACTAATATCTCACCACACATGAGGAAATAAAGTTAGCATGGTAGGCATTGGTTTAATAGATAGAATATAGGCACATTACCTTTATTTGTCTCACAGTGAATCTGTCCCCTAATTTTTATAGGACAGTCCCCAGCCTTTGAGGTATTGTAAAATCTTATCTGGTATGCTATAAAACATATAGAGAAGAAAGAAGAAATTTAAAAACAAAACTATGTATTTAGAGGTTTATCCTTAACTCTCTTTAACCTTAATAGGAGCCATATGTTTAAGCCTCCATAACTATTTTCTAAGTCTATTGTCATCCCATTTATATGTTTCTGTGCAACACACTTTTCTAAATGTAATGGTATAAAATCACAACCTTTTATTATGCATGGATTCTGCGCATCAAAAATTTGGATAAGGCATACCAGGAATACTTTGTCTGTGCTCTATAATCTATGGGCCCTCGGCTGGGAATACTGAAATGGGTGAGAGTGCCTGGAATAGCTGGGATTGCAATGACTGGAGCTGGAAGATTCATTCCAAGACTGCTGCTTCACTTACATGTCAGATTCCTTGGTGGGGATGGCTGAAAGGCTGGGTTCAGCCGGGATTGTTAGTGTTACATGTGGTGCGCTAGTATGTATTTCTTATGAGGTGGTTCATTTCCCACTGAACAAGACTGGTGGAAGCTCCGCGACTTAGTCTTGGAAGACACACAGCGACACTTCCGCTGTATTCTATCCGTCAGAGCAATCATAACTCTGCCCAGAAGAGAGAGGGCTTAGGGCCCATGAATCAATAGAAGGAGTGTAAAATAATTTGCAAGTATGTTTTAGAAGCATCACAATACCTTTTTTCAGATTTAGTTTCTGTAATTGCATTTTCTTAGAGGAGGACTATATATTTCTTTCTGTTTCTAATCTGTTTGAGGGGGCTTGTAGCATCAAAGTAAATGTTAAAAAATAGAGACTATTAACAACATTTTCAGTGATTTTCACACAAATGCATTTTATAATTAAGATGTGTATGTTTGGTGTGGAGGAATTTTATGGCATTTTTGTTATTTGTATAGATGTATTTTTAGATTTTTGTACATTGGAAGAATTATTTATAGTTAGTTTCAAAGATAGTTACCCTGGGTAACGATAGGCTAGTTTAAAAGACCTATAAAGGGAGTCATTAATCATACCTTTTTATGTGTACTAACCTGCAGTCCTGGGAAATATCTGACGTCCTTAAGAGATACCTGTGAAACATCACAGAGGCAGAGTGGAGAGTATTTTTAGTAGGGAAACTTTAAATATGTATCGGAAAGGAGCATATTGTGACTTAAACATCGTCTCATTTAATCCTTATAATAACACTTTAAAGAGGAATCTACAATTCACCAGCAGACACGAGCAGTCAAGACTCCTATGTGTCAGTATTTGGAGTCATGTCCATGTGGCTTCAAAGCCCAGGCTTTTTCTGCTTTTTGCCCTGCTACCTCTTGGTATAGAATTGAAGTGAAAGAATAGAAAATATTTTCTTTTTTTATTTTTCAAACTCTGTACTTTCCTCTAGCAAGTCACTTGTGCAAATCATTCATCTATTCACTTATTCCTATTGTTTTCCTCACTAACATCCATCCAGTCGGGCTTAGAAAGCAGCAGGTGGGTTGGTGACAGAGATCAGTGGGCTGAGTGTAACCGTGAAAGTCGGTAGGTGACAAGTGAACATGGAAGCAAACTTCTAGTACCCCTCCTTTCCTAAGCCTAGAAGCCTATGATGAGAAATGGGCTATACCACAAGTGGTCCCAAATAAAAGATGCCCTTAGTAGGTTCCCATTCAAATTTTTCCCGGGAGTCAGAATTCTGCCTTTGCCTTTCATTATTTCACGCGGAAGTCTGTTACCAGTGAAAAGAGATATGCTCGGGGCACAATGTGTGTCTTAAACACATTGTGATTTAAATCTTGCTGATTAATTTGAAAAGCTCTCTAAGGAAATGTTGGGGTTGAGAGATTCAAAACTGGAGAAGGGGAAGAAGGCAGCATGGCGTGGAAGGAGTAGGAGGGACACTTGCCTTGTCTGCATGACTTTGGTTTTTACGAACAGAATATATTTACATTTTAATTATGAAATAAGATAAAAATGCTATGGTAAATTTAACATATAATAAGCTGGAGTAACTATAGGAAGAAAAACTGGTTTAACCAGAAGAATGCTCACAGAAAGCAATAATTCCTCAATCTAAATATGCTAAAGTCGTGGTTGATATTTATGGGCAAAAGAGTCTTTATTCTATCTATCTATCTGTCTATCTCTCTAACTATCTATCACTTGTTATATGTGTAAATTCATATTTTCCTAAAAGAGACAAAGCCAGATATATAATAGACATCTAAGTTTTACTTGTTAATGTAAAACTTTGATGAAGGAAGTTCTTTAAAAATAATCAAACCCTGCATTTTATAGGTGAAAATATGATCAGAGGGAAGTAAAGAGACTTAAGGAAGCCAGACTACCAGTTACTAGTAGAGTTTGTTAGAATACAAAGTTCCTAATTCACAATCTAGTGCTTTTGTTTGAAAATTTTGTGGAATTCATATGACATCTTAAAAGTAAATGAGTCTGGGAAGTTTCCAGCAGATACCTGAAATTACTTATTAAAACTAAACAGAACTGAATTTTTCTGATTTCTAAATTATATCTAAGTTACTGAGTTCTTGGTCTTCATTCAAAATGCATGTATCTAATACAACTTTTTAAAATGTTTGAGTAAACATAGAGTTTGAAAATAATGAACATGGTATCATCATTGTCATTTAAAATATCCCCACTTTAGCTTGCTTTGTAGTAGCAGTAATTTCAGTATCTGTGAATTCTTTAAGATCATCAAGTAATCAGACCTTTGAAGATTCCATTGTTAAATATCCTGCTTTGGCTAGGCAAGGTGACTTATATTTGTAATCTTAGCACTTTGGGAGACTGAGGCAGGAGGATCACTTGAGCCCAAGAGTTTGAGAATCAACTGGGCAACATAGCAAGACCCTGTCTCTACAAACAATTTAAAATTTAACCAGGTGTGGTGGTGCATGCCTGTAGTTCCAGCTACTCAGGAGGCTGAGATGGGAGGATCATTTGAGCCCAGGGTTTCGAGGTTACAGTGAACTATGATGGTGCCGCTGCACTACAGCCTGAGTGACAGAGCAAGACTCTATCTCTGAAAAATAAATAAAACATTCTGTCTCAGTGGTTTTCCAAATCATTGGAGACTTCCAGAATTCCTAAAATTTTGCCACAACGTATCCCAGACTGCCCCTTATATCTAGGCGCAGCACAAATCTGATCTTTCATCAGTCTGAATTTTTAGTTTCATGTATATAGACATCGTCATCGGACTCAAGTAACTTCCACTTTCTGCTTCCTCTGTCATTTTCTGCTTAAATATTACAATTTCATTTCCTCAGTTGTAAGTCATTAGAACAGTGGGATAGTGTTTGGTATAAAGCTATTTTAAGGTAAAATGTCTAAAAAACATATTTAATATCCTTGGAGCTAGCTTCATTTGCCCTTCTTTGTCAGTGTTTGGGAAAACAACTCCAGGAGTCCAGAAATTATGTCTGTCTCACTTGATGGAGAGGTAGCAGGTTCACATAAACAGCTCATATCCCCCTTGCTATGCTGCTGTGGTAACTATGATCCCTGTGCATGGAAACTTGTTTCAGATGTTGAAGACAGACACAATTAAGATGGTTTGTGTAATAAACCTAAATGGAAAAGAGTTAAGAAATGTGACTATTGATTCTGCACTAGTCACTTTTAATTGCATATGAGCAGTAGAGGGAAGTTGGCTGGAGGTTTTGAGGAAAGGGGTGGTGTGCTGAGGGTGAATAGTAAAATAATTTAGACGGGGTATTCAAACGATGCTGACAAGTAAGAAGTGTTTTACCAGTGACTGGGAACATCATGTTATTTTTTGCTTTCAGATGCGAATTGGACTGCATTCTGGATCAGTTTTTGCTGGCGTTGTTGGAGTCAAAATGCCCCGTTACTGTCTTTTTGGAAACAATGTCACTCTGGCTAACAAATTTGAGTCCTGCAGTGTACCACGAAAAATCAATGTCAGCCCCACAACTTACAGGTAGTAATTATGTTAAATACCTAAAATCTCTTGTTTTTGTTTATATGCAATTGTCATTTTCCCCATTGATTTGATTCACTGTTCATAACTTTTTTCTTCCTTAATCATAAAGAAAAAAGAAACGTGATAACTTTTATCATCCTCACTTTAACTTTTTTACACTGCTTATTAGCCTAAGAATGACTCGCCTGAGGTGTTTGTGGCCCAGCCATAAATCCATGACAGATATTACCTATTCTTCCATCATTCTTCTTTTAGAAGACTATATTAACACTCTCAGTATGTTGATAGGTGTTCTAACATCAGCTAGTACACTACAGTGAAATTCTGGCAGTAACCACCCAGACTGAGCGCAGTCATAACCACAAGTTAGAGGGCACAACAAGCCTGCCCTTAATTCAGATGCTAGCCACCCTTCGGGACCTAAGTGTGCATTTAGACTGACTGAGCTACAATTTTGGGGGTTCCCATGAACCTCTCAAGTTAGATGATTAGCTAAAATGACTCAAAAATACTTAGGGAATTGCTATACTTACTATTACAGTTTTATTTTGGAGGATACAAATCAGAACCAACCAAATGAGGAAACAGATTGGGTAAGGTTTGGGAGGGTCCCAGATGCAGAGCTTCCATAGAATCAGAACTTATCTCCCTCCGACCACATCAATGGGTTTACAAACCAGGAAGTTCCACCGCACTGAGCTTTGAGTTTGATGTATGGAATCATTGTTTCCATTATGTAAGCATGATTGGTTGAATCACTGCCATGTGACTGAACTCAGACACCACCCCCACTCTCCTCCCCAGAGGTTAGGCTAGCACAAAACCCCAACCTTCTATCCACAAGACTGATTTTTCTGGGGCCCTGTCCCCATTCTGAGTCATCTCATTAATATAAACTCAAATGTGATCCAAGGGCCTCATGGAAAACGGATACTCCTATAACTCAAAAAATTCCAAGAGTTTTAGAAGCTCCCTCCCTGCAATCAAGGACAAAAGCCAGTCAAATGCCCTATCATACAGGGAAGAATTTACCAGAGGAAAACTAGCTGGTCATCAAGGATTTTTCAAAGATGGCAATTTTATGGACTGGCAGCAAGTGTTAACACAGTCAGAGGAGCCATGTGTCATCTAGCGTCAGAAGAACCTCTATCTTCACTGTCTCCTTGACAACATGTAGTGTACAGCCTGCGTCAAAAAATCTGCCATTTTGGTATCACTTATCCCTTTAACCAGAAATTAAACCAATCTGTGGTAAGTAGAAATATATCTATCATGTACATTTTCTCTCACTATACTGGAAACTCTTAAGTAACAAAGAAGTTTTTCAGATCTATACAGTAGCTAAATTACACCAAGCAAGTTAACTTTCCTATTCTCAGAGATAACTCTTTAATAGCGTCTTCTCCCTTCTTCTTCTGCATTTATTTATTTATTTAGTTTTTGAGACCAAGTCTTGCTCTATGGCCCAGTTTGGAGTACAATGGTGCAGTCTCGCCTCACTGCAACCTCTGCTTTCCAGTTTCAAGTGATTCTCCTGCCTCATCCTCCCAAGTAACTGTGATTATAGGCGCCCACCTCCATGTGTGGCTAATTTTTGTATTTTTAGTAGATACTGGGCTTTGCCGTGCTGGCCAGGCTGGTCTCGAACTCCTGACCTCAAGTGATCTGCCCGCCTTGGCCTCCCAAAGTGCTGGGATTACAGGAGTGAACCACTGCACCTGGCCTTCTCCCTTCTTAAAGCACCAGCATCCTTTCCTTTCCAGCCCAGACTCTCAGTTGATAATCTTGCCTCATATTTCACTGCCAGAATAGAAGTCAGATAGGAACTTTGCCATCTTCGTGCTGTAGGTTCTCTCAGCAGAGCTACCCCAGTACCCATCTCCTCCTTCTTTGTTCCCGTTACATTGGGCCAGCTCCCCTCCTGCCCCTGACTGATACAGCTTTACTGTGAGTGCTATTTCCTCTCACCTTCTCATTAACTTTTCTGTGGAAATTAACTCTTTCTCTCTATGATCAATTTCTCTCTGATGAAATGATTATTCCCAACAGAATGCAACCATATCTATTAAAACTCTTGAAAAATAAAAACTTCCTTGTTTCTAAGTCCAGTTTCTGCTACAATTTTAAATTTCTGCCCTCTTTTATAGCAAAACTGAAAGAAGTTGTCTATACTTACTATCTGTATTTTTTCCACCTCTTATTTTCTCTTCAACTCACTCCAGTCAGTGTTGACTCCACTCAAACGGTTCTTATCAAGGTCATCAGTGTGCCCTGCTAAAATCATTGTCAGTTGGCTGGGCGCGGTGGCTCACGCTTGCAATCCCAGCACTTTGGGAGGCCGAGGGGGATGGATCACGAGGTCAGGAGATCAAGACCATCCTAGCTAACATGGTGAAACCCCGTCTCTACTAAAAATACAAAAAATTAGCCGGGTGTGGTGGCGGGCTCCTGTAGTCCCAGTTACTCGGGAGGCTGAGGCAGGAGAATGGTGGGAACCCGGGAGGCGGAGCTTGAAGTGAGGAGAGATTGTGCCATGGCACTCCAGCCTGGGCAACAGAGCAAGACTCCATCTCAAAAAACTCTGTCAGTTTTCTCTCCTTATCATCTCCGAAGCATTTGAATAGGCTAAGAACTGCCTCATTTATACATGTTCTTCTTTAAATTTTTGGCACCCCACTCACCTAGTTTTCTCACTACCCCACGTCTACACCTTCTCAGTGTCTCCTGTTGGAACTCCTTCCCTACCAAACCTTTATTGCATTGCCCAGAGCCTCTGTTCCTGTTCTCTTCTGTGTCTGAACTTTTATGACTCTAACCATTTTTTAAAAAATCTTTAGCCCATCCTATGATTCTCCGCGGAGCTACAGACACATATATCCTATTACGTATTTCCACTTGGATGACTAATTGACATATTAAAATGAACTGGACCGAATTAGAATGAGTGATTTCCCACACAGACTGATGAAATCCACTTCCTTCCCACCCAGGCAAGCTTACCAATCACCTTAAAATGATATCACCATCCACCTAGTTACTCAGACCATCGACCTTACAGTGATCATTTCTTCTCCTCTCTTTAAAGAGACACTCCTTAACTATCATAACTATAGCAACAACCTTCTCCTCACATACACTCTCATTATCCTATTTCATCTTCTCAGTTCGCACCTGTATCTGAAATTGTCTTATGCAGTATTTATTTATGTGTTGAGTGCCTGCCTCCCTTTGCAGAATGTTAGCTTCCTGTGGTACAAATTCTATATCCCCAGCTCCTAGATAAGCGCCTGGAACACAGAAGGAAAGCAAGAAGTATTTACTGGTTGACTGTTGACTCCTGGATATGAAAACAACTCAGTATAACCTGAGAATTGGAAAAATCCCTGGGTTTCATTGTAATGGTAATTGGCCTATGGTCCTACTGGGTATAATAGGTAGGGATAAGATTCCATACCCTGAGATAATATGATTCTACTCTCTCTGTAAGCGTTAAGAGGAATCATCCTATTAAGTAGGAGTCAGTTGCCTGTCCTTTCACTGATATCTGTGTTTCTCTTTCAGTGTGCAAAGATGTGTTATGTGTGTATGTGCATGCTGAGGAATCCTACCTTACAACAAAACTTCTACACATAAAAAGCATATTTTCCTTTTTCTTCTATATTGATTGTTTTTAACAGTATAAAACTAAACTCTTTAGAAATCTGGCATTTTGTATCTCAAAGTCTGGTGGTCTTGAGTCATGTTAGGAGGCACTGATGTTAACTACTCATTTTTCTTCAAAATATAATTCAGGATGTCATGTATTTCAGCAGAGGACCACAACACGTTGGCATATATTTTTGACAACAGGACAATGATCATGACTTAAATCTTAGATTCACTATATTGGCAATGTTACTAGAAATGCACGTACAGGTTTTTATAGCATAGATGGTGTTATCTTTTAAATAAATTTTTTATTACTGTAGTAACACATGACCGTTTCAGAAAATTTACAAAATTAGTAAATTATAAAGTAAATAATAGGAATAAGTCATAATCTCACTACCCAGAGATAGTAACTATTAACATTTCTCTTTCTTTGTTTCAGTTATGTTTATATGCACATACATGGATGACACTGAAATTTTAATTTAATTTATATTGAACTTCAGCTCATTTGCTGAAGTCATTTCTACATTTTATAGACAAATATGATATATCTTTTTTCCTTTTGTATTGATTTCAATAGTAATTTACTTTCCTTTTATTCTCATATATGAGGTATTTATGTCTTGCCTAAGGGAAAGCAGTAGTTAATACTGTCTTATTTAGGCAAAATATAAATACTTAATGTGAAATACTTTTAACAGCTTTTTAAATTCCTTTCTTTGAGAGATACTTCACTTTTCTTCCATATACTAGGAAAACGTAAAATAATATAAATAATTTAAATTTCAGTTAAACATCCAATGCTATGGGAAATTTAGTCAACAGTAGGGGCATAATTTTAGTTTTACTCAAAGTATAGTACAAGAAGCGGATGCTAAAGAAGGTGTACAAATACAAAACGCAATTTTCTTTGGAGAACTTTATTGATGATACATTAAATTCTGGAATGATATATCTTTAATAATACAATAATCTGTTTAATATTGAATGAGCTTCCATGATATATTTCTGAAATACAGGTAAATTTAGGACATAGAATACATACCTATACCAAAAAAAAAAACCCCTGTATCTTCAAATTTCCACTTCCAAATTCTAACCAGTGATTCAAAATGTAGCAGGGTAGTGACAATTATACATTACTGTCTTTTAAACATTGTCAGGAGTTTTACTTTAATTTTAGGGGATAATATTCTGCATTTTGTTTGCTTTTTTGAAGTAAGGAAAACTATTACAGACTAATAGAGACTACATCAGATCAGTGGGTCAGTGGATCCATGTCTACTACATTAGATCCAGGTCAGTGGGTCAATGTTAGAGGTTTATGTGGTGATCCAGGGATCATTAGAAACAAAAATGGCAAGTGGGGAGGATGCATGGATGCTGTCCAGTGTGTGGAGTAAACAGGCCTAGGATCTCTTATTTGTAGGACAAGTCTGAGCACATTGTGCCAGAGAAGCAAGAATTGAATTCTGTAAGAAGAAAGAATGAAGTGAATAAAGGAATATAGGAAAGATAACAGAGAATTGGAGCGTTGATGCAGTAATTTGGGGAAAATCGTGTCTGGTGAAGAAGGTGTAGAGAAAAATGTCCGCTCTATGAGGACATTTGGGCTGTTGCTGCCTTTTTTGAGTGTTGCTGTCCTCAAACTTTCACCTAAATGGTTTGTTTTTCTAAATGGTTTTTCTTGTCTATTCTGATTTTTAAAAAGACAATATAATGAATATTTCTAACTCCATAACATTCTAATTATGTTTGTCTGCTAAGTGTCTTTAAAAAGCATAGAAGTTGTATTCAGAAGACATGCCTTAGAGTCCCACACACAGCACTTACCAGACGTGCGATCCAGAGCAAGGTCCTTAATAAATTCAAACGATGCACTTTAAAGCCACTTGTAAAGGCTGAATATTTTTATATAATACATTTAAATATGAGATTATAATTGTCATTACCATATTTAGTAGGGAATATTGGGTTGCTGTAGATAGAAAAAATAATAGATTTTTATCAATCACCTATAGTTTTATACATTTTTATTTATTAGACTTATAGTTTTATACATTTTTATATTTCATTTTTAAACATATAGAAAAAAGCAAAGAAGATGACACTCATGTAGCCAATACTAATATTTCAGCATCAACATTTTGCCATATTTATTTCAGGTTTCTGTTTTATAAAAACAATAAAATGTAAATAGATATTAATATAATGAAATATAAATATCAACTATTACATGGTCCCTGTCACACACTCTGACACAGTGGATCCTATGTGCTTTATAGCTTGTAGGAGCTGAGAATATGTACTCTGTGCAGACAGTCTCCCAAATACAGACGCATGTTCAGCAGCTTCTCCACAACTCATTAATAAGATGTCACTTCTGCTTTCCAGGAAGGAAAATGGGTAGAGAGAGGCAGGAATATCACTTTCATTTAGGTCCTGTCAGGTAGAAAAATAAAGCCAGAGGAAAACAGATTCCCAATCAACATGTCCATATCCTTTTATGACTTGCCTTGAATCCACTCAGTATTATGTTTCTGGGATAGTTTCCTTGATAAAATGTATACCTAGTCATAAATCTAGATCATTCATTTTAACTATTGCTAATGGAGTGGTTTGCTGGTAAACCAGCTTTACAGGATGAGGTAGAGAATCCACGATTCTAGCATTTGCCAATATCCTTGGTGTTACTATGTCCACTCTGGCAGGTTTCAGGCTATGGATAGCTTAACTGTCTTACAAAGTTCCTCAGTGTTTAACAACGGGTTCTCACAAGCCAGTATAAACCAGATCTAGCATGTTACTATATGTGCATGTGATATAATATGTATTCTAGAGTATGCATGAGCCAGACTCTATCTTCTACCCATGTTTAATTAGAGTGTATCCAATTTTTCATTATTACAAAAAGTGATTCAATAGATATCTTAATATGTACGTCTTTAGATAATATAACTAAAAATGGTATTCCTAGACCATAGACTATACCCAGTTTCAATGTTACTAGGCATTAATTAGCTGTTCAGACTGATTTTACCAATCTACACTCCACCAACAGTGTAGGAAGGGTGCTATTCCCCAAGGCCTGATATTGTCAGACTTACTGTTACCAATATGATAGGTGTGGCGTGATTTCTAATTGATGCTTAGTCAGTTTTAAAAAATTAATTTATTTAATTTTCACAACTGTCCTAAGGAATATGTACTATTATTATCCCCATTTTAAAGCCTGGACAATGGACATCTTTGCTGCTAGAGCTATCAGACTTTGAAGCTTATACTTTTAATACTGTGTAATTCTATAACTTTTCATTATAAATTTTCAAATAACAGTCACTCAAAAATATTTATAAATTCATGACTAAGACATCATTTTCATTAGTTTTATTGTTTAGCAGATTACAGATTTATTGATGTACTGATGAAAATTAAACTGTCTTTCTTGAGACAGATTTCTATTCGGTTGGTTTCTTCAGTACATAGATGATGTCACAGTGCCAAAATCTAATTCAGCATCATCATTCTATTTAATTTAGACATGACATTACAGACTGGTGAATAGAAGACCATGGTCTGTTTGGGTAAATATAATAAATGCTTTTCTGTAGAAGTTGGTTGAGAGCCCACAACTATGCAACATTTTCTCGTCCATGGTCTGAATATTAGGTTAGAGAGAAGTCTTATTAAGTTCTCATTTGACGGAAAGCTAGGGAAGCACATGGGACGAGGTACCAATAGCTTAATCAGTAAGATTGGAATTTAAAATGGGTTTAGCATAATGAACAAGTAGTAAAGTAGCAAACAATATAATTTGGTAAACAGATGAATTTCCGGAGAAAAAATATTGCTAATAATCATTAGTAAGTAGAGTGGTGATACGTACAATTAAATCTCACTTGAGTCCTGCTAATCTAGAATTCATAAAAATTCTATTGAAAGATTCAAAAGTTGCTGTCACATCATTTTTGTCATTGTAATTTTGATTCACAATTTCTTGCCCATGATTACTTTCTTTGCCCATGATTACGGTAATATTTACAAAATTAATGAATTAATAAATGGACATCTTACCTCTTTCAACTCAGGAAATCTTAATACTGTCATGGTTATGTGTGGATACTTTGCTATTATTAAATCTTTGGATTATTTTTTCATTACTGCAAATTGCACTGTTGTGTGGATATTATTTTTGCAAAAATGTTTTATAATTTTTTCCAATGTAAGTGAAATACGTTAGTTGACACAATTTTCTTATTGTGAATTGATTCTTCACTGTACTTCTGTGAAGATGTCTGTTAACCTCATTAGACTTTTTCTGTCAGTCACACCTAAAATCACTGGTTTATTAATATTCTCAGTAACATTCAGTTAGTTATATTGCCTCCTTTTTATGAGCGGATAAACATTTATGTCAGTATTATATTTTAATATTTTTATTTTAATATTTCAGATTACTCAAAGACTGTCCTGGTTTCGTGTTTACCCCTCGATCAAGGGAAGAACTTCCACCGAACTTCCCTAGTGAAATCCCCGGAATCTGCCATTTTCTGGATGCTTACCAACAAGGAACAAACTCAAAACCATGCTTCCAAAAGAAAGATGTGGAAGATGGCAATGCCAATTTTTTAGGCAAAGCATCAGGAATAGATTAGCAACCTATATACCTATTTATAAGTCTTTGGGGTTTGACTCATTGAAGATGTGTAGAGCCTCTGAAAGCACTTTAGGTTTGTAGACGGCTAATGAGCAGAATTAAAATTTCAGGAGCCAAGTCACAGTCTACTCTTTCTCCCATTTAACATGACAAAATGTACTCACTTCAGTACTTCAGCGCTTCTGGAGAAAAAAAAAACACACACACACACACACAAAAAAAAAAACTTAAAAAGTTACTTTTGGGGGAGTATTTCTGTTATATAACCATCACTTACTACCTGTACTCAAAATTCAGCACCTTGTACATATATCAGATAATTGTAGTCAACTGTACAAACTGGCAGAATCACCTGCAATCTCATATCCTGGTGGAATACCATGGTTATGAAAGTTGTGTTTGTGATAGTGTTGTCTTAAAAAAGGTTTCTAAATAGAAATTACATTCTTTGACGCCCTCAGTTCTTTCAAACTTTCAACTCTGCATTGTATTGCATTTTCTCATTTAACTGGTAGTATATGTTTGAATATAGGCTGACATTTTTTTCTCTATTGCACTTTCCCCTTTTTTTCTTTTTAGAAAATAAGCAATTAGGGATTAGATGCAATACAATTATAAAATAGTTCTGTAAATATCAAATATTATTTTTAGTTCTTGAAGTTAAAATACTCTCCATAGTAATGTGTGTTATAACAATAAGTATTTCTTCTGTTTGACATGTTTAAAAATTCTACAATGGCAAAAGCTATTTTAATCCATGTTAGCAATTTAATTCCTATTAATTCATTTTACTATCATAATAGCAAAGTATTCCAAATAAAAGAGGTTTCTATCTTCTATTAAAATGCAGTAATACTATTCAAATCTAATTGAGCTGGAAGCAACATGGGAGTAAAGTAATCATACAGAGGACTCACCATAAAGGACATTGGTAAAACATTTACACATGTACACACACATGCAGGCACACTTGGAACAACATGGACCTACTTCAGCAGACATCTTCTATTGCCATGCTGAGCCATTTAAAGTTTTAAGAAGAAAATCTAAGTACAGAAGTAGAAAATAAGACTTGTTCGTTTGGTGGATATCTCATTTTTCTTGAGTATTTGTGCTGAACATTTTGGTGCATGTCTATGAACTAAGAATCAAGTTTTTGTCTCATTAAATATACATATATGAAGTGTTTTTATTCTACTTGAAATATCCTGATTAAAAAAAAAAAGATTGTTAGTATTGATGAAGCAAATGAGGCAGTGACTACATTATGGAAATGTCTAAGTATTTTTTCCAGAGCTTCAACTTTTTTCTTTTTCTTTTTTTTACATAAACCTTTAAGCAGTTAGGAACTTTTATTTTTAATTAGGTCAGTTGAAGTTCTCTGGTGAACTAAAAAAATACACATTTTGGCTGGGGATAAGGATTTGATTTTAAAAAGAGCTCGAATTTAAAGCAAAAATAAAATGAACGTTGTAGCTTTAAAATCAATATTAGCAGAGCCATAGATAGGCGGAACTCTTATTTGGGGTTCTGAGAAATAATTCAGTTTAAAAGTTCTTTAACTGCCTCCATTAGTACCCAGGCTAGCCCATGGTGACATCAGGAATATTCATTACTGATTGGCCTCTAGTATTCCAAGGGTACTACTATAGATATTACAATGATGCTGTTTACTAAGTGATAACCCAATGTCTTACAGGACTGACTCTGACTCAGTAAACACTCACCCTATTATTGGAAAGTACCAGAGGCCTTGAGGAAGTATAGTTACATCTTCACAAATATGTGAAGTTAAGTCACTACTTACAAGGAAAACAAAAATGTAAATACATGTTTCTTTCTGGAACAGATCTCTTATCGTGGGGAAATAATAGAAATAAAGAAAATATAAAAGCATGAAATGGAATGTAGTCTTGATCAAACATTTCAGCAGACCTCAATTTGCACTCAAAAAGTTTATAATTCAATCAGAATTCAAAAAGTATTTTGTGTGTTTGTGATGTATTAGCATATACACAAAACAAATGAGGGGAATGTATATACTCTTGGTGAAAAGTTGTATGAGAGTTTCTTGTACCATTCCTGCAACTTTTCTATGAATTTGGCATTTTTATCTACATAAAAAATTACCAAAAAATATATTTTCACAGAGAACTTAAATTATCTGTGATAGGTTCCCCAGACCAGCCTACAAAGACCCATTAAACACAGAATAATTTGTAGATCTTAAAGAGGATGAATATACATTTCCATGACAGAGTCCATACGAAATTCACAATTCAGATGCTAAAAAATTTAAGGAATTTCCTTTTTTCTCTATCTTATCTGCTTTGAAGCATAGAGATTAGGGAGAAACTTTTCAGATCCAGACCACTGATGGTAGCCAGAGTAGAGACCCTGGAGAATAGATTCTTAAAATAAGTAAGGGGCCCAAGTCAGAGCTTTGATGTATTGGGGATAAAAAAGTAGTGGACAAACAGCCTGTAATCAGGTTGGGGACTACTGGTACTGAATTATATTGCCATTTAACTATCCTAAAAAATAAGACTGGGTCTCAAGACTGCTTCCGTAAGTTTCTCCTGAAAATCCAGGGGCTGAAAATCCTTCTGTTCTGGTTATATAGTTTCCATTCATGGCTTCTTGTCCTATTTTTTGTGTTAAGTACACTATATAAATTAGCTCCTTACACATTTTTCTCAGGCAAGCACAGAGTTATACTCAAGTTTCCTAAAGATGCTTTGCATCAAGAAGCAAAGGGAAATACGGAATTAAAATGTTTCTTCCCATTTTGCTTTGTCTTTCTATATCTATCTAGACTTTGTAAGAAAATGCAAAGTGTATTTTTAAGAAAACATAAATAAGAATAGATT